GTTGTCGTCTGCAGACGAATCCTTCGTTTTGCTTATCGTTCGTGATACAGAATAAGGCTGTTAGTTTTAGTATTGATTTAAAGTAAGTTTTTTTGGTTTCTCTGAATGGTAGTGGATTCTGGCATTAATGTACGATTTTTTTGTTCTACATCTAAAGGATTAATACGTTAGGAATTAGTTTGAATTATGGTAACTGGTAGGGCTGCCAGACATCTCTGTTACCAAACCGGGATACTTAAGGGAGGGCCTCCCGCTCCCTTCTCTTTCATTTTGACGTGCGAAAGGATATAGTGAAAGTTTATTTTGACAGACAAAAACAAAAACATAAAAACATGAGATCATGAGATCATTAAAACGTACGCCAACAAAACAAAACAACTTATCACAACTAAAGCACAGAGAATTTTTCACAATGCATGAACCTTTTATTATTCTTTATAAAAATACAGTTTATACTAAATATGATTCAAAACATAAAAATAAACTTGTTAAACTTTGTGCTAAACTCGGGAAAATTCAATAAATTTGCATACAAATTTGCAACATTCTAATCATACTTTTTATAAAAATTTTTAAAATGAAGTTTTGCAGCCCATTAAATTTTAGTTGATTTTTGGTATTGTTTTTACTGAGAGTTTCTTCCATACAAACTATGTTCGATAATTCTTTTTATATGGAAGACACTGTCAGCAAAAATAAAATAAATGCTAAAAATCAACGAAATTTGCTGGCAACTTCAGACTTGCACTTTATTAATTGGCTCAAAAGCTATATTTTCGAAATTTTTCTAAAAGATCTGATTAGAAATTGTGCTCTGATGAAAGAGCCTCCCAGCTAATAATTTTGTACGGCACTGTACTTATAAGTACTCTAGGTTTCATGAAAGAAAAAAATTTAAGTACAAGATAACGTTAAAATTGCTGTTGCTGTCGTTGCTGTGAACTTGTTTCAAAACTTCTGTCTTTTGCTTAATATAATTGTAAAACTCTGTGCACGTCATTTTGAACGTATTTAGGTACATATACTAATCATTAACTATTGCTTGTGCAAAGCTCAACTATCTCGAAATGTGACTGTTTTACAAATTAAACCAGTGCACTGAGAGAAAGAAGTTTAGAGTAAAACAAGTAAGAAAGTCTAAGTTCGGGCGGAGCCGAACATTAAATACCCGGCGCAAGTATTAAATATATGTTTTTTCACCCTTCCGAAACCTTCCGCTAGATGGTAAGCCGAGGTGTATCAATTTTGAGTAAATTAGCGTCCTTCAATTTCGAAATATTGAAGTTTCAAGCATTTCTTAAATTTACCGTTATATGAGAATCGGCCGTTATTTTAGTCCGATTTCAATAATTTTCAACGTTTTGCTTACACGTGGCAAGTACAATAACCATACCGAGTTTGNGGTACAATAACCATACCGAGTAAAAACGTCAGTGTGACGCAGTGCGGCTCAAGTGCGGTGCGCAAAATGGTCACAATGAGGTTTGAAAGTAATAGGAAAAGGAGACAAATAAAACTCGGTTTAGTTTAGTGGTTTTATTAATTGTCCAAGTATTTTGATTTGATTTAGATATGTTGGTTTACAATGGTTTTACCTGAAAATAATGTGGCCTGGTAGCTGCAGTTCTTTCTCCTTGGTCTCCCGATGTGAAAGTGAAAAAATCTAAAGCCGTGATTTTCGTTCGAACCGCCGGACAAAGAAAAGACGTTGAGGGGAAATTCAACGAAAGATACTTTATCCGGCGGGAAACTTAAACTAACGGCGCGAATATATAATATACGTACATGTGTACAAGTATGCATGCATAAATGTACACATATGTGAATGACACATTAGGGTGGTGCATTATATTTGGAAATATTTAGGCTTAAGGCC